GATTCTTTGGATATGTTTGGCCTTTGCTCCTTTGTTCTCTCTCAGCGCTTCAGCCGTGCTTTCATTTCCTATGCTCACTAACCGTTCTTAATCGATTAAGTACTGTACCTCGGCGTGTCATTGTATATGTTTACACTGTCCCCCATTTATACAAGTGCTCAGTCCTTCTGTCTCCTTCTGTATTTTCCCCCTAGATCTGGTTAGTTATTACCTAGGGTAGCAGCTTGCCGCAGTCGCCAATAGCGGCACTCCACCGTTTCCACTTGCTGTCAAGGCTCCATCTCCATTCGGCTTGTATGCGCTTTCCTGCCTGCAGATTTGTCCTATAAGCGGCTTGGTCTGCTTGATTCCAATGGAAATCTCTGCTTCGACAGATCCTGCGGATGGTTATCAGCCCCACGAATAACGGGAATGTTTCCGAAGATCGCGCCCTGGTCTTTCTCCTTTTCTCGTCCTCTGTTCTACTGCCTAACAGGATCAACAATCGGATGAGATTCAACAAGGACATTAATGAGAGCATTTGTCAGTTCCCTACTTGTTGGGTAAGGTCGCTGCTTTGCACGGCAGGTCCTCATACTTATGGTTTTTAATGAGAGTTTTGTGTATGAAGTAGTAGAAAATATCCACTTTGAACAGAGAAGTGCCACATGTACCATTGCGATGCCTTACTAAGTAACTTATGTAAACTCACTTAGCCTGCCAAAGTTCACTTATGCGCACTTATGGCAGGCCAAGTGAATTTCACAAGTTAAGTTCGGTGTAAAGTGACTTTAAGTATCTTTAAGTACCTTTCAATCGCACCAAGTGCCTTAAAGTTTTGGTGTATATTGGCAGTACAGGGGGTATTCTTGGCATGTTCCGTGTTGTGAGCCTATTGCCAACCTATGACAACAGTTATCTGAGGCAATTGAGACACAAAATATGAATTGAGGTTTGGTTTCTTTTATTCTACACCAGTGCACAAAACCGTCCCAAGCATCTCCTCCAAACCTGCCTTGAACTTGCTAAAACCGCCGGTGTCGGCTCGTTGATGCACATCCGATCCTGGCGGGATCGCATCGATCACTGCTTGCTTTTTTCACGATGCGAACAGCTCTCCTCCACGATGCTCAACCCTCTTTGGCAATTCTTCTCTCCACGGCACCGCAGAATATGTACCTCGCAGATTCTGCAAAATTCGCACCATCTTGTCCAAGGCAGCAGAAGCTCGAATCCCCCGGAATTTCGTTCTTGCCAGTGCATACAACTCCGATCGAAGCGAGTACGTCTGGATCATGACAGCTTCTTCTAAAATTTCGACTCCTCATGTCCGTCCACCCGTCAACGATCCTACTTCTCCACCATCAATCCCTTCATCCAGTCCTGACAGCATGAATACTGACCTGCGAAAAGCGGAGAATCCGGAATCGATGGGGCACGTCTTGGAGTCAGACAAGGTAGTAATACCCTGAGGGAAGTTCAAACGAAAACGAGACGTGAGTGTACTAGGCGGTGAGGACTCAGGCAAAGATACGGAGTTACACCGAAGCACTAGGCGTCGGAGGGAGCCTTAATTGCTTGTCAAAATCTAGCTCTAAGTCATATTTGACTAGTAATTACTCTGAAACTCTCCTGTTTTCAGCTCGTACTCATGTATCGTCCGGTAACTTGAAGTTCACTTAAGAGTGATGGTATCAGTTCCATCTGATGGCATAAGTGACTTTCCATGATGGCACTTGGCGCACCAAGTGAGCTCAAGTTTCTTTAAGTTCCTTCAAGTTTCTTCAAGTTGCTTGGAGTTCCTTTAAGTTCCTTCAAGTTTCTCGAGGTTGCTTTCAAGTTCCAATCAGGAAACTGTTAGAATGTGGCGCTGATCAGCGACCAGCTTAGAGCCACCTGCCAGATACCTGTCGGATTACATTAACAGCAAGTAGTTACGGTATATACAATATATATATATGGCACTATCATGTATGTACTTTGCGCATTTGTACCCTACCCGTCCTTACCACCAATACAGCCTGGTCTTCCGTTCCTCGGGCACTTGCCATTGTAGCATTGCTGTGGTCCTTGTGCAGGCCGTACTCCGTCCCCTCACTGGATTTTCTACAGAAACTTCATCCAAGTCAAGCCCACACATAAGTAGACTTATAGCTTCCGTAGCTGACGCGCATTCGATGGACTGCCTTTTGGAGCAGCATTGAAAAGTTAATATTAGTACAGAGTCATGGCCTGTTGTACGGTTCACAACCAAATTCTGGGCCTTGAAGCCGCTTCTGGCTATTAAATCTGCGGATGAGAATGTTAAAATTGAGTGTTTTCATAGCTCACTTCCTCCGCTCAAAGTCACTCCCTAATCTTTCCAACATTGGTCAATTTTGAGCTCATAATAGTGTCATTCATGAATTCACAACCATGTTTGAGACACAATATATACAAAAGGTCAGTGTTGACAAGCCTCAAGCAAGTTACAGATGTTAGAACCTGTATTTGAATATCACTCTAAGTCAGGCACAGCTAAGTGCGCATAAGCGAAGTGAGCCAAGTGTGGGAAAAGATCAGTAAAGTGCGACCACTTAAAATTGGGTGGTAAGTGAACTTACCAAGTGAGCGAATAAGTTACTTTATGCGGACTCCCAACAGAGGCAAAATTCTGCAGACGATGCTTGTTCGAATCAAGTCCGAGTCATAAATTTGGCGAGGGAGAGTTTTTTTTTCGTTTCTGATTCATGAAATCCCTCCATTTCATGAGCACGACCTGCCAGTCTTGCAAATCCGGCCTCAACAGGACCAGGTTCAGGGTGTGCAAACGTTCATCGCTTAAGGTCAACTCTTACCGACACCAGTGCCAGACACAATTCACCACAAAGGAGTTGAGAAGGAGGGATAGGAAGACTTTGCAGCGGGTGGCCGGCCCCTGCCCGTGTTGTATATTGCAGGCAGCAATTGTAGTCGTTCGGTTTAGAGGCCAATGGCTAAATGCGGACATGGATCAATGACGCGAGCTGATCGGCGATCGACAGTGCTCTCTCCGTGCCGCTTTTGTACAGTATGATCTCGTATTGAACCGTGAATGAGGCTGATTTTATTGAGTTCGGGTCCTTGCACGAGTAAACAACACCCAGTGGGCAGATGGACAAACCGTTCGAGGCGCGCTCGACTTTGAAGTTTGTTTACCCGTGCGACCCGTCCTCATACTTAGATGCGAGTGAATGAGGCACAACTGTGCCTGATCGACTGGGGCCTGGCCGAGTTCTACCAACCCGGCGTCGAGTACCACGTCTGCGTCGGCTCGCGGCAGTACAAGCCCCCAGAGCTGCTCGTCGGCTACAAGCGCTACGACTACAGCCTCGACCTCTGGAGCACCGGATGCGTATTCGCTGCTATGCTGCTTGGTCTTATCTTATCCGCCTTCCCCCTCCTCCTGCCGATACCCTGCCCCGCCCCGTGCGGCAGTTCTTGCGTAAACAACACTTCTTCTGCGGCCCAAAAGGACCAGCTGCCCAAGATCGCCACGGAGCGCTTCGACCCGTACCTCAAGGCGTACAACATCCTGTATGAGATGGACAGGCTCAAAGATCTGCTCAGGTCGTATGTCCCTTCCTGCTTCCCTTCCCTTCTCTCCCGCACTTTCACCTTGCCATATCTCTTTCCTCTCCTCGTACATGCTCTTTCTTACTTGATACGATACCCACCGACCGGATGCCTTAGTACCTGCCCCGCCCCTGAACGCGCTTGATCACCGCCGACACCGCGCACCTCGCCACCCATGACGCCCTCTCCCTCCCTGCGCGTCTCCCCTCTCCTCTCCCCTCACATTCGTCCGTCCCCTCCCCTCCCTCCCTTTCCTGTCCTGGCGTCTCTCCTCTCATATCAATGTTAACCCCACCCTCGCAGATTCGACATCCGTGGGCGCTTCACCGCCGCCGAGGCGATCGTGTGTCTATTTCGGCACCGTGCGCGTTGAGGGCGGCCGGACTATGGAGGAGGCGGCGCTTAATGACTCGGGGTTTCCGAGCATGAGCGGGGAGGAGGTGGGTGGGCGGACGGGGGCAGAGACGAATTCGTCCATACACATTCCGAATTCCGATTTCGTTGTCTTCCTTCTAACTTCCAACGTGAAGGCGCTGGCCGAAACACCTTCCCAAATCTAGACGCCCAGGACTCAGGATCAATTATTGCATGTCGCGATTACGCGCGGTCCGTGTCGCTCTATGTAGGAGGACCCCTTTCTGTAGACCTACAGACGTCAATCTGCTGTTCACAACATTTTCTTTCCTTCTAACATTTTGAATTCATTTGTTATTTACAGTAATTGAATTGGGTTCGAAGGGAAGGAATCAGCCTGAGGAAGGAACTAACTTGGAAGGCTCGGTTGCGGATGGTCCGTGTATGTCTTTGATATCCAGTAGATTGCAACTAGACATCGGAGTCACCTGTTCGATTCAGGCCCGAACAGTTGTCTATAATGTCGTCCCTCTTTTGGTCTCTGACACAAAAACACACATCTGCCTCAGAAATCCCAGTTGCTGACTGGCCCACTGGCTTGCCGGTTCAATTTTGCGGCCCATTATGATTTGACAATTCACTTGGTAGCTTGCAAGCCCGAGCAAAATATTCGGGAAGGAATGCATTCCGATTCCGAGACCCCAGCGATACTTTGTATTTGGTGTTGAGTAGGAATAGGCTCGGTTGCAGATGGTCCGCGTCTGCTCGACTTCGATACTTTGAAACTTTATTCTGCAGATATACCCTGCTCGACTCAAGTCCGAGCCATGCACTTGTAGTTGTTCGCTGCTTTTCCTTTTGTGTCCTTATTCCGAACGTTGACATCTTGAATTTATGCTCGAGACTGGCACGGGCCGCACCTGGCAGCGTTTTGTTACATCTGAACGCGTAAAGTGACTGCATCAACTCTTGATTCCACCTCCCTGCAGGACGAGCGGTTGATATAGGTAGCCGAATCAAACCGCATTATTCAGCTCAAGCCCACAAATTGGTTCAAGTTTGAAGGGAAGGAAGGCTCGGTTGCGGATGGTCCGCCTCTGTCTCTTGTTTGCGCTGAATATCACGTAGACATCGGAGTTGCCTGTTCGATTCAGGCCTGAGTCATGCCCTTTACTTTACCATCTACCTTTTTCACTGGCTCTGACACACACACACGTCTCCCTCCAAAATCCCGGTTGCTGGTATCTATTATTTGACTTTCGCAATTCACTTGATTATTAGCGCTCTCCGCTGGAGAAGAAATGGCTGTATTCCGAGGCCCTAGTGGTATTTAATATTTTGTATTTTATCGATAGAACTTGGATAGAACCTCGAAAGCAGGTGTTGAGTAGGAGTAAGCTCAGTTGCAGGTTGTCTGCATCTGTTCTCAGTATTGAATACAGATATAGGTAACACGCAAGATATCATTATCGGCCACTATTGCAACCATCACCTTGGCCGACACATTTCCCGAACGTTTATGCCCACAGGGTTTCGCATATTAGCACCCTAAATTAAAGCGACGGCAGGATCCAGCCCATTTTCGAATCATCCAAGCAAACGAACAGCCGTACCTCCGGAAACATCCGCAAAGGAACGCTTCACTGACATCAATGACCAACGCCTGAAGACTGAAGATATTGGAGAATTCGAATCAGTAGGCGCCACAGGGTATTTGGAGCTAGATTCGCCTTTCAACAGTTGCTGTATGAACTATGTGATCAATATGTTCGAGTCTATCTTCCAGTTACAGTTTAATGGAGAACGTCTTGGAAGTAGCACAAACTGGTCACGGAGGTGAGAGCCCAACTCTCCTTCAACTCTCCTTCGATTGGGGTGTGTGGCCCGTGGCCGAAGTTGGACATGGTACAGGTTGGGATTCGAATCAGTCAGAAGGATCACTTTGTGGGTTCGCGAAATTGAGGAAGATGCCTCTCCGTGCATGGTACTGGACTCCCTCACAGTAGCCTTTGATGACGTCCCTTCCGAGCGGCGCAGCTGTCCGTCTGGTCTGTCACAGCGGGAGAATCTTCCTTCTGCCGCCGATGATCCTCTCAGATTACCTGCGTCGCACCTAACACATCTGGACCTCCCGTCGCTGTTTACCACCCAACTTGGTTCGCTTACCCCCCACTTGCTATGTCACGAAGCATTGAGGAAATTAATCACGCGCAGCGTCCAAACTCGATTTCACATCCACCCCCCGGGCTCACATTACGAAAGCCCTGTCTTAAACCACTTCCTGGCCGAGTTCCTAGCACTGGACGAGATGCACCTCAATGTCGCGGACATCCCCGATCGCGGGCTCACCTCGACGAGCTTTCCCGGCTTCCCGAAGTCCGTAGCATCGAGTTTCCCGTTGATGCGCGGTCGTTCACGCCATCCCTTTGCCATGCCTAATCGTGTCGGGCCAACTGGTGTTTGTTTGCCCTGAACAGTATCTCATTCGATCGAGTTTCCAAGCAGCAATCAATACCCCGGGGAGTTGAACGATTGGTGTACATATAATGTACACCACGAGAATTATACAACAAGCACACTACATTCCGCCTTGTGCTTAGCGTGGATGGTTGAACCTGGCTATACATTTGTCAGATCACCGACAGCAACCTGATCGCGCTAACCTGCCCTCACCTTTCGAGCCTTATGATTATGCTGGCGGGTGCCCGCAGCCCAACGACCGCACTTGATCGATCCTAATCATTCGTCAGGGGTGTACGCTGGCGCACAGGAATAATAAAAAATGGGTACCATGCGCTCCCGAGGTTGAACGACCCCTGGTTGGCTCCCAAGTTCAAGCTCGTATTGGTGCAGCCCGCCCCCCTGGCAATACGTTACATTTGAGTCCTGTTTTTTGGACGGGATGGAGATGGGATTCAGACTGACTGGAATATCACGCAGTCCACATTCGCGGTAATGATGACGACCTGCTGAATGAGGTCCTCGAACCCTGGCCGCACGTCATTGCACGCGAATCCGGTCCCCGGGACGTTGATGCCGAAGCATTCGCCCTCGTTGTTCTGCGATGTCTGTCAAGTGCACACCAGACATATATGGGCGGCTCAGTGTCTGAGTATCACGACGGGGCTTTGATTCACGTACGCAGTACTCGACATCGAAGGCGTATGCCGCGCCGAAGAAGGAAAGCGTGATTGCCAAGGCTGGTAGAAACGATTTCATGACTCGGAGTGGATTGCAATACGCTTGGTTCGGAGACGTACGAGTTGGCTGCTGAGCACTGAGCCTTATAAGCTCTATCGGCACCAGTGTACATGTCAAATTTACATACTTGTCATGTCATGTCAGAAATGACACGGGAGAAAGGGCCAAGGCACGGATTACGCGAAGGTTGGTACCATGGTTGTATGAACATTCAGAGAATCCGGTGCGCTCATGGGATCGAGATACACGCCTGGCTCAGTGGTTTAACATCTGCAAAACGGAAGAGAAATCCATCAGCAGCCATTGCTCCAAACAACCGGTTCGGAGGTGCGGTGACTCGGCGGACAACTGTCGTCTCAAAATAACTAAATGAGAAACTGCCATCCAACTGTAGTCTGTACCCCCCCAGTACAGTCGCTATACATGTACAGTAGTCTATAGTTTCAGCGATGTAGGAATTTATGTATTAGACTTGTAATTCGTCTCTGCTAGACAGACGCTCCAACAAAATGACGCTCGTACCTCGCGTGTTGATAACTACTCACCAGTCTGTATACAAAAATCCGAAAGCTTTTGGTTGTATACAGCCTGGTACAACTCCGGTGCCTGGCGCGGGTTTTGGATAACAACGGTGAAAAATGGTGGGATGTGATCAGTAAGGTTAAATGTGTATATCAGGGCTCGGGGCTCGCCCGTTCTCCCCCCTGCCCCCTCCGGTATAGAGAGGGACACTTAAATTAGAACCGCGGCACAGCGACATGAATTCAAGGGCGGCACATTAATGTGCGAGTGCCCTGTCCATCAGATGCATGTGCCGCCGCTCTAAATTAACTGCATGCCTCGTCACCAGGTCTCAAGAACTTGAAAGGTGTCTCGACCAAGCTCCGGACTCACTCCTTCTCCCTTCCCGAGCCCGCGTCGGTCTGCCGCTTGGGCGTCTTTCCCCTTCTTGTCCTACCTCGGGCTCCAACCATTTCCGTTTTCAAACAGGAAAGACCGTTTCTATTTCCGTTTCGTTTGCCAGGGCTGTGAAACGGTAAACAGGCCGTTTAGAAACGGTTCAAATGGTTGAAAAAATATTACCGACGCCAGTGCCAGACACAATTTATCACGAAGGAGTTGAGAACGAGGGATAGGAAGGCTTTGCAGCGGGTGGCCGCCCCCTGCCCTTGTTGTATTCGATTTAGGGGCTCATGGCTAAATGCGGACATGGATCAATGACGCGAGCTGATCGGCGCTCAGCAGTGCCGACGACGCTCTCTTCTCGCCATGTCTCAAGTTGGTGCCGGGGTCAAATGGTTCCGCGTTTATACGGTATGATCTCGTACCTCGATTTATTGGACCGTGAATGTGGCTGACTCGATTGATTGAGTCCGGGTCCTTGGCAGATGGACAAACCGTTCGCGAATTTGTTTCAAAGTTACCGCCACGTCGCGCCTGGTTTGGGGCAACCCGTCCTCATACTAAGACGCGAGCGAATAGCGCATACCTGCGCCTGATCGACTGGGGCCTGGCCGAGTTCTATCACCCAGCGTCGAGTAACACGTCTGCGTCGGCTCGGGGCAGTACAAGCCCCGAGCTGTTCGTCGACTACAAGCGCTACGACTACAGCCTCGACCTCTGGAGCACCTGATGCGTGTTCGCTGCTATGATGCGTCCCTCTGCCTTGTCTTATGTTATCGGCCTTCCCCCTCCTCCTCCCGATACCCTGGCCCGCCCCGTGCCGCAGTTCTTCCGTAAACAGCACTTCTTCCGCGGCGCCGACAACGAGGACCAGCTGCTCAACATCGGCACGGGAGCGCTTCAACGCGTACCTCAAGGCGTACGACATCCCGTATGACGTCGAGGATCTGTTCTGCGTCCCTTCCTGCTTTCCCTTCCCTTCTCTCCCTCAATCCTGCTTACACTTTCACTTTGCCTTATCCTTTTCCTCTCCTCGTACATGCTCTTTCTTACTTGATACGATACTAACCGACCGGATGCCTTGTGTAGATACCCGCCCCGCCCCTGGACACGCTTGATCCCCGCCGACACCACGCACCTCCCTACCCCCGACGCCCTCTCCCTCGTCGACCGCCTGTTGCGGTGTGTACTTCCTGTCCTTCCCTTCGCGTCTCCTCTCTCCTCTCCCCTCACATTCGTCCGTCCCCTCCCCTCTCCTCGTGTCTCTCCTCTCAAATCATTACTTAATAACCCCACCCTCGTAGCTTCGACCCCCGTGGGCGCTACACCGCTGCCGAGGCGATCATGTATACCTATTTCGGCACCGTGTGTGCGTCGAGGGCGGCCACGCGAAGGAGGAGGAGGCTTTGAATGGCTCGAGGTTTGCGACCATGAGCGGGGATGAGGTGGGTGGGCGGATCAGGGGCGGAGATGAGGCAGCGCGGCGCACCTCCATGTCGGTGCCGCGTGTGAGTGCCGGGGAAGCCGCGGTGGCGGCGCGTCGGATTGGGGGGATTCACACCGCGTATCTCCCTTACGATGGTCGAGTAATCGCGGTTGCCTCGCCTCGCCGGGTCGTTGAGTTGATATTGTGTAGATCTGCAGACATCAGTCTGCTGTTCACAGCGTTTTCTTTCTGGTCTGCGTCTGCGTCTGCGTCTGCTGGATCTCGATGGTTTGAAACTTTATTCTGCAGATATACCCTGTTCGGCACAAATCCGAGCCATGTGCTTGTATTTGTTCGAGGCTTTTCCTTTTGTGTCCTTATTCCGAATGTTCACATCTTGAATTTACCGTAGAGACTGGCATGGGCCGCGCCTGGCAGCATTTTGTTATATCTGAACGCGCAAAGTGGAAACTGCTAACTTTCCGGAGTGATGGTTGTATAAAGCAGGTATTACCTGTTTGACTCAGGCCCGAGCTCTCCGCGACCTCGTCATCCATTTTTCTTGCAATTTAGCCCCCCACCCCCCGAGATCATGGTACAATGCAGCATCGAAGGTCAGATCTGGTGAATTTTC